TGTGCAAGTAGTTCAAGGTAAACTAGGCTCTTCTTTGACTATCAGTCTAAATCAGTGGTTCTAAACCTTCTAAATGCCTCAACCCCTTAATATAGTTTCTCAAGTTGTTGTGACCCCTAACCATAAAATTATTTTATTGGTACTTCATAACTAATTTTGCTACTATCACACATCATAATGTAAACATCTGATATTCAGAATGTATTTTCATTCACTAAATGAAATTTGGCACAAAAACCAAATACGTCCAAATTTGAGTACTAGTAGGGTTGGGGGGGATTTATTTTGTCATTTGAGAGTTGTAGTTGCTGGGATTTATAGTTCACCTACAATCAAAGAGTATTCTGAACTCCACCAATAATGGAAATGAACCAAACTTGGTGCACCAAACTCCCATGACTAACAAAAAATATTGGAAGGGTTTGGTGGGCATTGACCTTGAGTTTTGGAGTTGTAGTTCACCTACATCCAGAAATGTGGACTCAAACAATGACGGATCTGGACCAAACTTGGCACAAATACTCAATATGCCCAAATGTGAACACTGATGGAGTTTGGGGAAAATAGACCTTGACATTTGGGAGTTGTGGTTGCTGGGATTTATAGTTCACCCACAATCAAAGAGCATTCTGAATCCCACCAACTATAGAATTGGGCCAAACTTCTTACAGAGAACCCCCCATGACCAACAGAAAATATTGTGTTTTCTGATGGTCTTTTGTGACCCCTCTGACAACCCCTCACGACCCCCCCCCCCAGGGGTCCCACTCCCAGGTTGAAAAATGCTGGTCTAAATGGATAGCAGTTGCAATTGTTTTGACCAGTCATATATTGCTTAGTAGCCATAGGAAACATGGATTTCCACACAAGTAAGTGAATGGCCTGGTGAAGAAGGAAGATTTTTCCCAGGCTGGTGATTTTTATAAGCTTATTTACAAGGCTGAGTTTTTCCTTCGAAATCAAAAGGCAGCTTCTCATCCCTAATGATCAAAAGTCTGGGTTTTCACATTTGTCCAGTTTTACCAAGAGGCTCATCTTTAATCTTTCTTTAAAATGTGAACAGACAAGAAGGCTGCAAAAGACTAAAGCCATGTATATCCTGATTGTAACTTTCCACAGGTCTTTTCAACCAATAACCTCTGTATTTAGCTTGAACAATGGAAGTAGACAAGAAGGCTTAAATTTCTTGAAATATTTATTGTCTACAGTACCACATGAAAGGCAAGCATTGATTTGGACGGGGGGAAAGGGTACACCTGAAAATGCATTTTGAATAGCCCTTTGCTTCTGCAGGAACCAGCTCATCAAATCTGCCAAACTTTCCCCTTACCAGTCATGTGCCATTATGGCAGCTCCAGCTTATACTGTCTTATGATTGACAGGCCTCCAAAAAGTCCTATTATTAATCGCACTGTTCAGACATTGAAAAAATTCAAAGTTTACTAAGGTAATTCAATAAGGCGACTTTTCTTTTGTTGTAGTTTCTTTTCCAGTAAGTCCTTTCCCCCATAATATGCACTAAGTACAGTAGTCTCAATTTAGTTATGTTAGCTTCTGGTGAGCTTTTAGACTTGATTTGCTTTAGCATACTGTCATGACTGTTATTTAAAATTCTGGGATGTGAGCTTACGTCCCTTAACATTGTCTGTTAACATACAGTAACTTTCTTAGGCAGGGAACACTCAGAGGTGGCCCGCCATTGCCCTCCTCCAAAATGTAGCCTGCAGCACTGATATGTGTTGACAGTCTCTCCTCCAGGTACTAACCAGGTGTGATCCTGCTTAGCTTCCAAGATCAAACTGGGTCTGGTACTTTTTAGGGTATTTAGACCCTTAATTTTGAGTCACAGGACCTAAAAGGTTTCCATTGCTACTCACAAGAGACATGCACACAGTTGTTGATATTGCTAACTACCATCAAGTCCATTTCAACAGCTATCTTGTGAACTCAAGGCATCCCTGGCTTTCTTGATGCAGTCTAACCATCTGCAATCATGGCTTTTTCTCAGGATAGGTCCAAAACACAACAGGCGTGGGTTTGCTGTGAGTTTTTTTGGGCTATATGGCCATGTTCCAGTGGCATTCTCTAGGAGAGAATGCTACTGGATCATGGCCATAGAGCTCAAAAAACTCACAGCAACTCACTGATTTCCGCTATGAAAGCCTTCAACAACACAACTGTCTCATTTTGGTAATCTTAGCTTCTAGAGAGAATTCAGGCTTGATTTGCTCTAGGGCCCATTTATTCCTCTTTTTAGTGGTCTGTGGTATCTGTTGAACTCTTCTCCAGCTCTATATTTCAGATGAGTTGGGTTTTACCAGCTTTCTTCACTGCTCAGCTTTCACAACTATACATAGAAATGGGAAATACAATGGCATGAACAATCTTAATTTTAGTATTCAGAAATAAGCAAGGCCTCATCAGAAAGGCCACAGATGGACGGGAGCAGCCACCTGCTGAAAAACAGAAATAGCAAGCTGCTCACTCCATTGACCTTGAATAGGTCGGAAGGCAAGGCTAGGCAGAGGGCCACAGAGTAGACAAGGGGCACATCTACTCTGAGGCTTTATCCCGAAGGGAAGATGAATTAGCTCCATGGGGACTGCGTGACACATGGAGGCGATTCAGGTTATCAAGGATCAATGCTGCTTAAGGTGCCTTTGAAAAGCATTAAAAAAACTACAGAAGTTTGAGATGAGAGAATTTATAATGATTACTGGTTTTGCTGATGGGTCTATGAACCGTAATAAATTGTTGTTGCTGGAGCATAGTGTCTAGATCTAGGGAAGTAATGCTATCCCTCTATTCCGCCTTGGTTAGACCACACCTGGAATATTGTGTCCAATTCTGGGCACTACAATTGAAGAGAGATATTGACAAGCTGGAATGTGTCCAGAGGAGGGCGACTAAAATGATCAAGGGTCTGGAGAACAAGCCCTATGAGGAGCAGCTTAAGGAGCTGGGCATGTTTAGCCTGAAGAATAGAAGGCTGAGAGGAGATATGATAGCCATGTATAAATATGTGAGATGAAGTCACAGGGAGGAGGAAGCAAGCTTGTTTTCTGCTTCCCTGGAGACTAGGACGCGAAACAATGGCTTCAAACTACAAGAGAGGAGATTCCATCTGAACATGAGGAAGAACTTCCTGACTGTGAGAGCCGTTCAGCAGTGGAACTCTCTGCCCCGAAGTGTGGTGGAGGTTCCTTCCTTGGAGGTTTTTAAACAGACGCTGGATGGCCATCTGTCAGGGGTGATTTGAATGCAATATTCCTGCTTCTTGGCAGGGGGTTGGACTAGATGGCCCCTGAGGTCTCTTCCAACTCTATGATTCTATGATTCTACATAGGTTGCTCTGAGCTTTGCCTGAGCCATTATCACACCAGGCTATGAGTGACAGATACCAGCTGTATTGCTATTGCTATGAAGTAGGTTTGGTACCACTGGATAATCAGGACTCCTTCCCCTCTGGCAGCAGCCTAGGAGGTGGCAGTCTAAACTGTCCCAGGGCTGATCTTAAATGAGATACTACAAATTGGCCCTGAAATAAAGTGTCCACGCAGAACCAACCTGGATATTTGAATGGTCCACTTGAATAGCAGCATTGGCATTACATGTTGTATGTTACTATCTGCTGTGTGATATATGTATCTATAAGGTGGGCATGAAGTTGTGGAAAGGAGGGGTGGCACAGGCCGGAAAGGCATGTGCAAGTGGTTCCTGCATTTTGAAGGGATGAACTGAACAGTGTCAGGACCAGCTTGTAGCTGTCTGTGTGCAGGTCAGGACAGGAAAAGCGTAGTGGCTGTGTCACCAACTACTGGCAGTCCCTGAGTTACAAACGGCTCATAGTTAAGAACGGGGTGAGACAATAGAAAGTGGGAGAAATCTATCCCTAGGAAGTGAAATCCTCTCCTGAAAGAGTCATCATGGGGAAAAGGGGTCTCCACTGAAGCTTTATCACCAACCATTGTTTCCACGATGGGTCATTTTTTTCAAAATCTAATTATCACAGGCACAGAAAGTGAGGTGAAATCTTCTGAACAGGGGCACAGTCAAAACAAACACCACAGGGGTGTGAATACTTCTCTATGCTATCCAAAGATAGGTAGGTAAGTAAGTAGAGGTAAAGCTTTCCCCCTGATATTAAGTCTAGTCGTGTCCGACTCTGGGGGTGGTGCTCATCTCCATTTCTAAGCGGAAGAGCTGGCATTGTCGTATACACCTCCAAAGTACATGACTGCATGGAGTGCCATTACCTTCCCGTCCAAGCGGGACCAATTGATCTACTCACATTTGTATGTTTTCGAACTGCTAGGTTGGCAGAAGTTGGGCCTAACAGCGGGAGCTCACCCCGCTCCCCGGATTCGAACCACCAACCTTTTGGTCAGCAAGTTCAGCAGCTCAGCGGTTTAACGTGCTGCGCAGCTGGAGGCTCAGATAGGTAGATAGATATGTATGTATGTCTATGTATATATATTGACTGGAGTTACACTTTAAAAGGGCCTGCTCCGACTTACATACAAAGTCAACTTAAGAACAACCCTCCGGAACCTAGCTTGTTCGTAACTTGATATATGTATCTATAAGGTGGGCATATGGCAGTGTAGATAGATGGGGCCACAGTGGTGCCAAGGATGGGCGCGTGTTTCAAGGGTGGCGGGGCGCGCGCGAATGGGATCTCTTCCTTGTCCCCAGTTGGCTCCGGGTGAAGTGGGCACTGTGGGCGTCGTGGGAGGGCTGCGGGTGGGCGAGTATGTGTCCCCCTTTCTTCTCTCTCTGTGGCCGAGGCTGCCTGTCTCCCTGGTTGGGCCGCGTGGGGAGCGGGTGCGAGAGTGCCCCCCCTTTCTCTCCCTCTCTCTCTTTCTCTCTCTCTTTCTGGGCGTGCGGTTGGCACAGGCTTGGCGGGCCCCTCCTTTCCCCGCCTGCCAGGCCCCGGGGCTCCTGCGCGGACGTGTCGGGACTCGGGCTTGGGGCGCGGGCGCGGCGGGTGCTCGCTGCGCGTGGACGGCGCTTGCCTTCCTCTCCCGCCCCGTCCCAGCCCAGAGAGGAACCCGGAGGAGGAGGAGGAGGAGGAAGGAGCAAAAGAAGACCCCCCCCCCTCCTGCGCAGGCACACACGCACCTAGCAGCCTTTGGGACCCGCGGTGCCCTGACCTCTCTCTCCCTTGCCTACCCCGCACTGACCCACCCCGCTCAAAACCAAGGCGCTAACGTCGAGAGAAGGGGGGCAGTCAAAAGTTGTAGCTAGAAGAGGGTGTGTACCTAGATTGGGAGCGGCGGAGGTTGGGGGGGGGGGGATTGAGAGAGAGAGAGAGAGAGAGATCATTGCCAGCCTCCTTCCTCCTCTCCTCGACTCGCTCTCCGATGGGGGGCAGAGGAGGAGCAGGACCTGTCCGCACGCAGCGCCGAAGAGAAGACAACCCCGCTCTGGTGCCGCCTTCGCCAACCTGCCCCCCGCCTCGACGCCTCCCCGACCCCCAGCTGCCCCACTGAAGGAAGGAAGGAAGGATTGAGGCGGGAAGGAGAGAAGAGCAGAAGGCAGGCCCGGGGTGTAAAGTTCGGACTATTGCAGAGAGTTCTATCCCTCGTCATGTCTAAGAATCCGGGCAAAGGCGACCCATGAGGCCCCCCAAGAGCAGGAGAACGGGGCAAGAGTAGCCACAGCCCAAGAGAGACAGCCCACTCCATCCTCGCCTACTTTGCCCTCGCATCCAAAGAGAGAACCAGCTGCTGGAGAGAAGAAACTTGGGGCATCCAAAGATGGAACATCCACTCCTTCTCTGGCTCAGTCCTCTGCTTCTTCTCAGCCTTTGGGGCCAAAGGTAAGGAAACCCCGCTCGCTCCTTGGGCTTTGGGTTCTCTCCATCTGCCCTCACCCTCACCCCACGATTCCCCAATCCTCTCCTCTCTTTGACTCTATCTGTGGATGGCCAGAGCCGTGCCATGCTTTGACCTCCCGGCTTCCATCCTCGCCGCAGTTGGGGGGGGGGGGGGGGAGATCCGTGGCTCGTGCCCCCCAAAGACCCCAAGGGCTCGGAGGAGGTGTCGCTTGGGAGCCGCTTCTATAATTACAACTCTCCGAGGGACGCAGTGTCGGAGCGGATTGGCCTCTTTCCCGAGCGGTTCCTCGGGTCCTCAGGATTATTGCCCCCCCTCCCCCCCCCCAGTACTAATCCTGGCTGTCATCTCCCTCTGCACTTCGTACTCGCGCCCCATCCGTAATCGTGAAATTCTCGCCAAAGGGCATTTCGCTTTGACATGAAAGCGTTGGGGGGGGGGGGAGAGAGCTTCCATTCGTCAGTGTCAGTTTCTGAACCGTGAGTGTGCCCAAGCCGAGGCAGAAATGGTGTGAAAGAAGGAACGGGGAGATGAGGCTCAGGGGAGGGAGACTGTGCTCCGACTTGCCAGTTAGGTAATTCCCTTCCTTCCCAGAACTAGGCACAGAACCCAGGGATCCCTCAGCCCACTTTCATGGACATCGCACATTTCTCATTGGTTTCCCCTCTTTGGGACAAAGTTGGGGTGCACCCTGTCCATGCAAAAACAGAAATCGAAGTTGTTGGAAAGAGTGGGGAAAGCCGCTTTAGTCACTGAACTCATCCATTTCAAGCGACAATGAGTGCTAACAAGTTGTATGTGAATGCATGGTGAAGCGAGCTGCAGCCTACAGAAGCTTGTGCTAAATAAATCATGTTAGGAAGATGTATTGTCGAAGGCTTTCATGGCCGGAATCGCTGGGTTGTTGTGAGTTTTCCGGGCTATATGGCCTTGTTCCAGAAGCATTGTCTTCTGACATTTCGCCCGCATCTATGACAGGCATCCTCAGAGGTTGTGAGGTCTGGCATCCCTAGATGCAGGCGAAACGTCAGGAGAGAATGGGTTGCTGTAGGTTTTTTCGGGCTATATGGCCATTGCCTAGAGGCATTCTCTCCTGACGTTTCGCCTGCATCTATGGCAAGCATCCTCAGAGGTAGTGAGGTCTGTTGGAATGCAGGTGAAACGTCAGGAGAGAATGCCTCTAGACCATGGCCATATAGCCTGAAAAAACCTACAACAACTCAGTGATTCCAGCCATGAAAGCCTTCGACAATGTCAGGAGAGAATGCTTCTGGAACATGGCCAGACAGCCCGAAAAACTTACAACAACCCTTTTGCTGTCATTGTTTCAAAAATAACATACATCACCTCAATCAATGTTGCAGAAACATTCTCTCCTGACATTTCACCCACATCTATGGCAGGCATCCTCAGAGGTTGTGAGTTCTGGCATCCCTAGATGCAGGCAAAACGTCAGGAGAGAATGCTTCTGGAACATGTCCATACAGCTCAAAAAACTTACAACAACCCTATTGCTGTCATTGTTTCAAAAATAACATACATCACCTTGATCGTTGTTGCAGAAGCATTCTGTCCAGATGTTTCACCTGCATCCTCAGAGATTATGAGGTCTGTTGAAAATTAGGCAAGAGGGGTTTATATATCTGTGGAATAATGTCCAGGGTGGAAGAAAGAACTCTTGTCTGCTTGAGGCAAGTGTGAATGTAGCAATTGGCCACCTCCATTAGCATTGAATAGTCTTGCAGATTCAAGGACTGGCTGTTAGGAAGAGCTCCTTTACTGTAAGAGTGTTCAACGGTGGAATGTGCTGTATTGTGCAGTTGGGGGTGGACTCTCCATCTTTGGAGGTCTTTAAAAAGAGGACAGATGGGCATCTTTCAAGAGCCCTTTCGTTGTGTATTCCTGCAGGAGGTGGGATTAAATGATCCTTGTGGTCCCTCCAACTTTCTTAAAGTGCCATTCTATCAGTTTTTTGATGTGACAACTCACCTCAATCCTACAGAAATCCATTCATTTCAGAGGCCAAACAACCTGCCCCTGTTTTCTCAAAGAAGGGCTTTCCTTCTCATCAAGGCATGATCCTTGGGATGCATAGGAATGTATGGACATGGCTTTCCCAAACCAATGGGACTAAATGACATTGCTATAGGGCTTTCTGCAATGGTTTAACTGGGATTGTCCTGCTCTGTAACTTCTTTGGTAGTATTCAGTTTCAAGGTTAACCTGTGATAGCACTTTCATATTGTTTTGATTAGGCAATCTGAGGTTATTGGATCTTTCTGCAGCTCCAAGAGCTCAACAAGGGTTTTACTGAAACCACCCAGTTTAAAAATTCTGTGAGAAAACCCTGCAGAACCAACCCACCTTATCTGATCAGACTTTAGGCCCCTGGTTAGAGTGCTGAGAGGAGAGAGGTTCAGATGCCCTGATCTTTCCTGGTCTCTTGGGTGGCTTGGAGTTACTCTCCCGCATTGCTTTCTCCTTAACCTTCTTTTATAGGTTTGTATTGAGATAAAATGAGACAAGAGTTCCTTGAGCCCTTGGGAATAGGATGGTGCGAGAAGCCAGGGCAGTGAGTAAATGAATTCATACATTAATTAATAAATAAGGCTTGATGCTTGTGGCATTACAAACCAAATTCATTGGTCTCAAACAGTTTTCAGGGCTGATGTTATTGAGATAGTGGAAATCTATAGCTTGGGATGGAGGGAAGGAAGTAAACTCTGAATAAGGATGCAACCACTAGTTTCTATCTCAGCCATAAAATAGGGCTCATATTCAAAGCATCGATCTTGTATTTCCACTCTGGAGAGAAAATTTGGCATCAGGTGGAAGAATGGGATTGCTCATGTTTGCTGGTGGTGCAGCGGGTTAAAGCATTGAGCTGCTGAACTTGTTGACCAAAAGGTCGCAGGTTCGAATTCAGGGAGGGGTGTGAGCTCGCGCTGTCATCCCCAGCTTCTGCCAACCTAGCAGTTCGAAAACATGCAAACGTGAGTAGAGCAATAGATACCGCTCTGGCGGGAAAGTAACCACTCAATGCAGTCATGTCAGCCACATGACCTTGGAGGTGTCTAGGGACAACGCTGGCTCTTTGGCTTAGAAATGGAGATGAGCACCAACCCCCAGAGTCGGACACGACTAGACTTAATGTCAGGGAAAAACCTTTACCTTTACTATAATTTTAAGGCATTCTGAAGTAAGCAAGCACTTCCTTCCTTCTCTATGACTCGTTATTTTTTGAATAGGGTGTAGGGCAGGGGTCCTCAAACTAAGGCCCGGGGGCCGGATGCGGCCCTCCAAGGTCATTTACCCGGCCCTCGCTCAGGGTCAACCTAAGTCTGAAACGACTTGAAAGCACATAACAACAATAACAATCCTATCTCATCAGCCAAAAGCAGGCCCACATTTCCCATTAAAATACTAATAAGTGTATATTTGTTAACATTGTTCCTCATTTTAATTATTGTATTGTTTTTAAGTGATTTTTACAGTACAAATAAGATATGTGCAGTGTGCATAGGAATTCATTCATGGTTTGTTTGTTTTTTCAAATTATAATCCGGCCCTCCAACAGTTTGAGGGACTGTGACCTGGCCCTCTGTTTAAAAGGTTTGTGGACCCCTGGTGTAGGGTGTTTGCTTTATGTCACTGAAATGCTTAGCAATTGGAAATGTGTCTCTTTTTAAAGAGGGGACAGAGGATAAATGCATGAATCTATCACTCATCGTGTTTAGAAAAGGCTTGGGGATGCTTGCATGAAAGGCATGGGCCACAGCATGCAGAGAGCACTCTCATGAGGAAGAAATACTGCTCCATTCCAAGCTGCCTAATTATGAAAGACACACAATGTCTTAATCATTTTTTTTCTTCTTCCAAGGGCAGGTCCCTTCCTTGAGGGCTAGAAGCCAATCACTGCCAAAGAGCAGACACACCTCCCCTTTTGAATGGGGCCTGGTTGCTTTGGAGCTCCAAGGGAGACTCGGATTTGCCATGAACTTGAGTCTTGGTTCCTGGGAGCCCTTAGGCCTGTCCCTTCCCTTTGGAGAAATATGTAAAGTAACAGTCTCTCTCACCCCTTTATGTGGGTGCAAGTTATTAGTCATCTCTTGGAATGGGTTTTGAGGGAAATGAGTGCTTCCTTCCTAACACCTTGGGTCACATATGCCTTCAGGCTTCCCCAGAGACCCAGGCTGAGGGGTTTCCTGTTTCTAGGATAAGAGTGGGAACCTCAGCACCATCCAAGCACTTGTGATTGCACCTCCCATTCTTCTTGACCATAGGGAGCCGTAGTACAAAATATGAGAAGGTGTTGCATTGGGTTTAGTCCTTGCCAGAAGGGGAAAAAATACACTGCCTTTGATTTGCTGTTCATTATTTGCCTTCAAGTTGATTTATTTATGGTGATCCTTTGAAAGAAAGACCTCCAAGGGCTCCCAACATCACTTGCCCTGTTCAAGTTTCTAAACTCAAAGCCATGACTTTCTTTGTCCTTCCTTTATTGTGGCCACTCTCATTTTCTACTACCTTCTACTTTACCTTACCTTTTACAATGATATGGTCGAAGTATAACAGCCACACTTTTGGCTTCTAGGGAGACTTCTGGGCTTGGTTTGTTCTAGGACCCATTTTCTGGTCTTTTTAAAAAGCAATCCATGGTGTCTATACAACTCTTCTCCAGCACCACATTTCAAATTGGGATTCCTAATCAAGGTGCTGTAGCTAATAGTATAATTTAAACACACACAGTCCAAAATCCTGCTCCTCACTCCCCTAGCTACCAGTTAATGGGTCTATACTGAGGTTATGTATAAAGTAAAGTATGGACCCCGTATCTATGAGACAATATTTATGGCAGGCCTGCACAACCTGTGGTCCTCTAGGTGTGTTGGACTTCAGCTCCCAGGATTCCTGACTAGCAGCCTGGGGCTTCTGGGATTAGGAGTCCCAAGCACCTGGAAGGCCACAGGTTGTTCAGGCCAGA